AAAAAACATAAAACCTGTCCTCCAAACCACCTGAAACTTATGAAATGACCTGAAGTGTCTTCAGGCCATTTCAGCGGTTTCAGACCACTTCAGAATCTTTCATTCTGAAATTTCAGGTGGTCGTTAACCGCAAGTGCATAGAACTGGTGGCAAAACAAGTCAAGGAGCTGGACAACAAAGTTAGGGATTGCGGATCCAACAAGAGTGACAGTGAGTTGCGTAGAATAGAAGCATGGACGAGAGTGTTAGAGAGACTCTTTAGAGAGGACATAAAATTTTTCAGAAGGCAGCGTATAGATTTTCTGGAAAGCGTAAAGGCAAGATATCATAGTAGTGAGGAATCAGACCGCTCATTAAAGTCGACGGAAAGGACAGAGGAGTCGTCAGAGGCTACAGCGCCGAAAGAAAAGGAGAATGCGAAGGAACGTCGGAGCGATGAAAGGAGACGATGAGCGGAACGAGCGAGTATGCCAATGATAAGTCTCCCTTCGATGAGCGGCCTTTGTGTAGGGCGTGGCGCGAGAGCCCTAGAAAGACTGAGAGACTTCTAGAGTGTGAGGCGGAAGTGGCTGGAGAGTTAGCAGGGGTCATAGTAGACAGCTCCGTTCTCAGAATGCTCAAAGCTCACAACCGGTACTGGAAGAAGGTCATTAAGACCTTAACGGATATTGAAGATTTTCGGGATATAGACGACCTCGAGACGTTCTACGTATTCTTAGAGGATTCTGCGGGAAGAGTCTTGTTGGCCCTAGCGTTAATTGCGATGGAATGCTAGGTCGCTCATAGAGACGGATGAGAGATGTTGCTACCGGAGGAGGAGTTAGCGCGAAGAAGGCGGAAATTTTCAGTATGAAGCGGACCCAGTAAACTTGAGCACGAGAAAGTACTCCAAGGTTTTAGCGCTATTAGCAGATGGGAAGTCTTTCCGTACGAAGTACTCAGGTATCAGGAAGCAAACAGTGGCTGTGACAGAACTCAGTTTTATGTGATGACCGTATACTTTCCCGACTTAGGAGTATACCACGTAGGTATATATTTACCTAGGGAGTGCGAGGAGTTCTGTGTCTACACGAGGTGTTGGAGGATAGCCGCCTGGAAGTTGAGGGAATAGAAGAAGAGATTGGAAGATTTAGGGAAAACTGTTGAAATCTGTGATGACATCTCGATTTTCGACGGGTTACCAAGGTTGCCGATTCCGAACCGAGGATTAGAGAGAAATGGATGGGAGGCGGTGGTAGACTTCGCTAGGACGGTCGAAACGAGGAATGGTCCCAAGAAATTGACAAGAAGAGAATAGGATGTGGGAATGAGTGAAGGGAGAAACATCTCTAATTGCGACCTGGAGTTGAGGAGAGAGAGGTTTCTTGTCGGAAACCGACCGCCTAAGGAGAGACTAGTGACTATCTGTAGCCTATTGAGTTCGCTAGGGACGATAGAAGCGATTTCGTATAAGGTAGAGAGGTATGAGTTTGTGGATGGTGGTTGGGAGGAGATACGTCTTTATGTGATGACCGCCAGGTTTATCCATTTAGACGTGTATGATGTGAGGATCTATCTGCCTAGGGAGAGGGAAGTAGATCTTGTATACGGTCGATGTTGGGAGCGTGCAGAATAAATTGTAGAAAGCGAAAGGGATATGTTACTAGCGCTGGGGAGAAACGTTAACTTGAACATGCAGATAATGATCTTTAAAGGACTTCCCAAACCTCCAATTCCGTATCAGATTGCGCTGAGGGGAAACTTCGGCCCTGTGGTTGAACTCGCCTTGCGACATCAGGAGTTTGATGGCAAGAGGAGGTGAGTACCTGCTGGCGGGAGCCAGTGCAGTACGGCAAGGGTTGAGCGATCTGGAGAGGAGGACATCTATCGATTTAGGAGAGCGGTTGCGAGCTTGTACTCGCGAGGAGTTACGTGCAATAGAGAGTGCGATTTGTAGGGGAGTCATGTGCCCCGAGACAAGAGTGTTAGAGGTTAGGAGAGGTGTCATCTGTATAGAAGGACAGGTATAGCGACTTTTCCTTGACAGTGGGATATTAGGTATTGAAGGGACACACGAGATCCGAGATGAGAGCGGGAGACTGATAGTGATATTGAGGGCGGTTGAGAGCTAGATTTAGGCATTTAGAGATCGACAGAGCCAGTTCCGACATTAGGTCCGGGCTGCCGGTTCTGACATTAGGTCCGGGCTGCTAGTTCTGACATTAGGTCCGAGTTGCCAGTTCTGACATTAGGTCCGAGCTGCCAGTTCTGACATTAGGTCCAAGCTGCCAGTTCTGACATTAAGTCCGGGCTGCTGGTTTTGACATTAGGTCCGGGCTGTTGGTTCTGACATTAGGTCTGGGATGCCGATTCTTACATTAGGTCCGAGCTGCCGGTTCTGACATTAGGTCCGGGCTGCTGGTTCTGACATTAGGTCCGGGCTGCTTGTTTGTGGGATAAGGACAGTGGACTCCCGATATAAACTCAAGCCCAGAAGGGGAGTAAAGTATATGGAGTCTGACGCGATGGGTCCACATTGGATGAGGAACAACAAATTACTGTGTACCTAGCATCACCGGATCGAGCTCTGCGATACCTCAAGGAGCGTATCCGACAGAATGCTCCATTGAGATATGTAGAGCAAATCGACGACGGGGAGCCAGAGGTAATGACCTGTCCGGTCATTGTAGAGCCAAACAGGGCCACCACGGTGGTACGAATGGAGAGTAGAACCAAACCTCCAAGTTTTCAGCGAGAGTCGACCGTTCAACGCTCACCTACGTATGAACGAAAAGACTCTAGAGGTGACCAAGGTAGGGATGACTGGAGGGACCAGTACATCCGGGAGCAGCTTTGGAGAGACACAGAGAGGACCACACCGCCCAGGCGGATCTACGACCCGCAAACATCATCTCCTTGCCTTACGAGAGGAGAGATAGATACATCATCTAGCACCAATCTTCGGAGCTAAACACCAGGCCCCCCATTTTCAAGGGATACGGTACCACCGAGTATCTCGAGAAGTGGGAGTTGCACGCATACCGTAGTCAATGGTCGGAGGACGAAATTATAGATAACTTCTTATTTAATACGGACCCAAGTTTGAGTCAAGTGATTAAAGAAGCCCGACCGAAAGACTGACGATGGACTACCTACAAGGTCAGCCTCTACGAGCTCTTTAAGCTGGAAGACGTTAAGTATTCGATCCGAGATTTGGAGTTGATGACTCAGGGTGAGGACGAGAGTGTTCAGGCTTTTGGGAGGCGATTCCAGAAGATATCCAATGCCCTTATTGCAAAAGGGAAGTTGTCAGAGGTCAAGAGATGCACGATCTTCATCGGTCGACTACCTAGAGGAAAGCAGAAGGGAGTACTGAGAGAGATGCCTCACGATAAGTTAAATTTCGCCGCGGTACTCAAGTTGTCAATGAAGGCTGAGGCCGATGACTACAAGGACCTAGTTTGGAGAGGAATGCAACGCCGGGACTTCTCCCTCTATCTCGAGTACAAGGCGGATAGGTGTCCAGACTTTAACGATCAGCCTTGGGCAGAGTGGAGATATTTTATGGACAGGGACCAGGGTTGTCACGCGGGGATCCCCGGGGCCCAAGCCGGGGTAGGGGTTTCACCC